CTGGCAAGGGCACCCGCCCTAAAGGGAAAATCTCTCAAAAAAAAAAAAAAAAAAAGAAAGTTAATTAACAGAAAAAAAACCAAAAAAACAAAAACAAGAACAAACAAAAGAAGAATTACATGCCCACCCCTCCTGGGGATGCTTTCTCACTCTCTCTCTCCCTCAAGCACAAGCACCCTCCAGAAATTTATTTTAAAGAATTATTTTATTTAACTTAATTTATTATTATTATTTTCCAGTTTGATCACAGACAGACAGAAAGGGAAAGCGAGAAAGCAAGCCGCCAGATCCAGGACTTGAACCGCGTTCACGCCATGTGGGAGTCCCGCGCCTTTAACCACCACGCCACCTGCTGGCCCCCAGAAATTTTTTTTCAGAGAGATTTTTGCTAGTGTGCTCATGGAGAGACAGAGAGACATCAGAAAGCGAGAAATCAGCCCCCAGGGGGGATGGCCACGCCGCAATCCCTTCTCCATTCTCCTCTCGGGATCCTGGGCACGCACGCGCACACGCGCCCACGCAGTTTTAAGCCTCCAGTCGGAGACTGGATTCGTGATCCACTATGGGCGAGTCCGGCGACTTAACCATTATGCCATCTGCTGGTCCCCATCCTAGAGAAAATTAAAAAAAAAAAAAAAAAAGAATAGGGACAGGGCAGGAGGGAGACAGACAGAGGGCGTCCAGGCTGGCCCAGGGAGAAAAGTCACACGGATGCGGGAGGAAGGAGCAGACAAAGTGAGTCAGGGAGGGACGAACGTGGGGGTCCTTTCTGGGAGAAAGGAAGAACAAGGGGGAAGAGGGTGATGTGGGGGGGACACGCGAGAGGTCAGGGCCACCAAGGCTGGGGGCTGCATAGACAGGGGTGACCAAAATCCGACAGAAGAGGAAGGGGAGGGGTGGCTAGCAGGGGAGGATGCATTCCAGAGAGGGGCGCCAGGTGGGGGACCCCCAGGGATGGCATCCTCACCGAGGGTGCAGCGCCTATGGGGCGCGGGCTCCAGGTGCACGCGCTTACGACACGCAGCTTCTTCCAGAAGGCAGGCGCTGGCGTAGACGATGCCATCGGAGCCGCACACGGGTTCCCGGGGGGCGCTGCAGTCGCGGGAGCAGCCACAGCGCGCGATGGTCGCCCCTTCCTCGGAAGCCACTGCAGGACCCCGATCTCCGGGTGACCAGCCTGGGGAGCGAGGCAGCGTCGGCGGGGCACTGAGGACTCTTTCTCCCACCTTGTCTGCACCCCCGAGGGCTGGGACCACCCCCACAAGGTGGGAGAGGGGACACGTAAATGCGAAGCCTTAAGCCCTGACCCGGTGCAATGTTCATGCAGGTATTTGCCTCGTACGTAAAGAACAGATATGAAGGGCTTTTAAAAACCTTAACATCAATCGAAACCAAGCAGCACGGAAAACTTAAAAAGGGACCCCGGGCGCCTACAACCCCAGCCAAGTCTCTTGCAGCGGCCACTCCCGGAGAGGTCCCACCTAACCCAACTACGTCGGGTTTGTGGAGGGAGAGGAAGAGCTGGGGCACCTCCCACCTGCTCAGCACCGCCCCTGGGCTCTCACTGACTCCTCCCACTCCTAACCCCGC